GGTGGGCCTGCTCCGTCTCTGCCGCTTGCCAGCTATGCCTCGGCTGGCGCAGGGGGTGGAATCACGCATGCGCGACACTCCCGGGCAGGGAAAGTCCTCGACTTACGACCAGTTGGGTAGTCCTCAACTTACGAGTGGTTTAGTCCTCGACTTATGAGTGGTTTAGTCCTCGACTTACGACCGGTTTAGTCTTCGACTTACAACCGGTTGGGGGTCGCAGCATTAAAAAGGTTGAGAACTACTGATCTATAATATAACATCCAGATCCACATGTTGAGTCTTCTTTTTCTTGAGATTTTTTTTTTGTAGGATAAGAACACGTATTAACCAGATATGTATGCAAACATTGTTTGGGTCAGAATACAAGTATAGTTATTTACAGAATCTGGAGAACTTTTCATTAGTCTTTTTTTTAAAAAAAATAACCATTATATTAATTACCTCTTGCATAACATTAGTATTTCCTCTGCATAGAAATATGTTTTTGCATGTTAAACTAAGAAGAGAGGTGTAAACTCAGGCTATTTTATTTAAGTCTTTAATTGAAAAATAAGAAGCAGCTTTTGTGGAAGTAAAAGAATTCACTTTTTATTCTGAGTGTTGTTTAAGTACAACACTTACACCTGGGTGGTCTAAAAAGGACTATAGTACTTCTTTGGCAGGCTTCCTCTTTGTAATTGATTTTGTTCAGAAAGAAAACTTTATTGTTGCTACTTACGCTGCTCACATTCCTCATGGCTTTGTGCTTTTATTTTCTTCTGCTTAACTGGTAAAAATGGATGCTGCTTTGAGTTCTGCTCTTTTGAATTCCCAGATTATTTTTGAAGAAGACTTCCTCTTTCCTTTCTGTATCTGTTTCTGTATCTTAATGCATCTGTTAACCTAACCAGAATAATTTTCTTAACCCTCTCTCTGCTTTATGGTGGATTCTCATTGCTCATGGAACCAAGAGTTATTATTAAAAAAATTCACAAACACATCACTCACTGCCCTAAAATAGAATCCTATTTCAACACCTTCAAAGAAACCCTCACCAAACTGCAGCCTTCCCCAGGAGAAGTGGAGAAAGTGTTGAATGCCAAAGGATTCCTGCAAAAACATGCTGACTAAGCTGGGTGTATCCCAAGAAACGCATTTAGAACTCCCCAGGGAGAAAAGATGCCTGGACATGTATGGTTTAGAGTGGGCTAATGGGAAGCATGGAAAAGATTCTCCCTTTGTTTCTCCACCAGTCCCAAACACCCTTCAGAAATAACAATCTCACCTATCTGATGGGCCTTATGGTAAGATTGCAGACAATATTGTGAAGGGTCTGCTCTGGGACTGCAACTTGTGGATCTAGATCCTCCACAAAAAAATAATGTTTGAAACAAAAAAAACACAACCCCAAAACAAAACAATCTATTCAGGGCATTGCAAATGTGTTGTTTCAAAGACTGGGCAGAGATGGAAAAGGGTAGCCCAAGACAAAAAACAGTCACTCTGTTTTGGATCTCTCAGGTGGGTTGAGGCCTTGACTTCGACTTCTCCTATAGCCCGGACTGAATTGCTCAGTCCAGTGTTTTCACCTCCTTCTCTTTCTTCCTCATCTTCTCACCATATTGATAATTGGAGGGTGACGAATCAAGGATTTGCATGGTTGCAAAAGTTTAGCTTCTTATTTGAACTTTTAAAATATTTTCTTTTATCATTGCATAAGGATGTATACTCCCGAGTAAGCATGTTCAATATTAAGACAACTCCCTTGAGAATAACACTCTGATTTACATTAATTTAAAACATGAGTATTTCCTTTCTTACTTTCCTTAGGAAATCCAGTAGTTGTCAAGCACAACATAGCAGTGGGCATGCGGAATAAATTTTAGCTATGGGTTTTTCAACAGGAATAAATTTTAGTTTTCACTGGGAAGAAATGGTTAGCTATGAATTTTTCTGTGGGGTCCTTTTTTTATATAACCTATCAAGCTCAGAGAGCACCAAGGACCCCCCCCCCCAATTTAACTCTGACCTACATTTTTTTCTAGTATGAATTTTTCACTGGCAATAGTATACAAACATCTGAAGGAGATTCTGAGATGTCTACTAAATAGAGGGGATTAAAATTATTTAGATGCATACAGCTTGAAGTTCCTTTTCTGAAAATATCCTGGCAAGATCTAACAATTTTTTAGATGGAAACTTTGCATGTTGTATGATTAAATCAAGATTAGGGAAGTCTGACTTACTAGCATGTGTTAATAGGTAAATTAATTTGAAAACAGGAACACCTACATATGGGGATTGGAATCAATGAAGTTCCATATATTTGCAGTTATTATGAGCCCTTTGTGCTATCCTGTATGGCTTCATAATCTTTTTCCTAGTTGCTTAGAAACAATTCAAATCCCATCCATACATGAAATTAGTGTTTGATGGGGAGGAGGGGTTGTTGTCCAATGTGCAACTCTTTGTACATTGAACCGCACTTGCTATACAGTTGACTATACAATATATTTACACAGATCCTTTTGGTTTTTACTAACCTGAATATTTTGTATTATCTTTAAACTTGGTCATCTCAGTGCTCAGCCATAAGTTAAAATAACTTCTGATTAAGAAGCCCCAGTCCCAACACAAATCCTTGAAGAATGTCACTTTTCGGCTTTGAAAAAAATATTTAATTTATATATATAATTTATTTCTGTCTATTTTCTGTTTTTAACCAGTTAACAATCCATGACAGGACAAGTTCTCTTTTCCAATTTCTGCTAAGTTTACTCATGAGCATTTGATAAGGAACTTTGAAAATCTACATACACAATCAGTGGAGCCACTGCATGCATTGTCTTCTGCTAAAAGTGTGATCAGGTGGCATAATAAGGGAACTGGAGAGCCATCTGCCCTGGAATACCTCTGCTTCAACTTTCCCTACACTTCTTTTGGGGCTTTCAAACTGGACTCTATTTTAGAGATTAGAAAGGGTTAGTTCCAGAGACAAATACTGGATTTCTTTCTTTTGAATTTGAAGGAAAAATCCTTGAGAAGATAAGTCAGTATTCTGGCATCCAACCTCATAATGAAATCTATGGATTTCAACTGCAAGTAGGTTGATTCACTGTGAAAGTTACTTGGCAGCAAGATGGGCCAGATATGCAATTTAATATATAAATAATAAATAAGAAGTCATCGTGACAGTGTTTTACTTGATGAACTAGCATTTTGCTTGATGAACACTATCATTTTATTTCTGTTTAACCTCTCTCACTGTAATGTTTACTGTTTGAGATGTTTTTATGTCTGCAGGTGTTGAAAGTATCAAATTATAGCATTAAAGTATAATTGAAAAATATTCTCAAAAAATTGTTTGGTATGTTTTTCAATTAGATCAATGAGGAACTTCCATCGAATGGAAGCTATGCTGGGCTATCAGTCCCAGTATCTTCAACCAACATGATTATACAGGCTGTGGATGATAGGAACTATAATCTAAACACATCTGTGGAGTCCCATATCGAATAAGGGCGATCTACATAGTAATGTAGCTAGAAAGGAAGACAAAGAGGTTGAAGAGGTTTTTTTTTTATTCCCATGCTCTTAATTTTCAAAAAAATCACGAAAACATAACTTATAAAACAATATATATACTGCATCCTCCACAACAGCATTATTGAAACATCCAGCGTAACGGTTATCACAGGTGGGGATACACTGGGAAAGAAGTACCTTGTGCATTTATATTATGTTTCTTTGTCATCTACAGGTAATAAGTATCAACAGGAAGAAGCAACAAGTATGTCTGCGAGAAAACTTCATATGTGTTTTGTATGCGTATTAATATTTAAAGAAATTAATCATTTTCATATTTTTAAATTTTTTCCAACAAAAAAAAATCCTTTTAAGTATTATCTACACTTAACACATAACATCTTTTTAAAGATTTCTTGTTTGGGTTTCTTGCTTGTATTGATTTATTTAAATCCAAAACTGGAGAAACAAAGTAATTTAATTCCCCCCCCCCAGGCCCCAAATTTATTTTACCCATTCCTCTCCTTTGTTTAAGAGGCAGTATTTTCTGATGCTCCTTTTCTGTCTTTTCTTTCTTAATATTTCCCCTAGATTCTCTACGAGAATTCTTTCCTTTCTCATTTTTTTAAATTAAAAAAAAATCCTTTAAATAAGGACGGACGATAATTTGATTATCAGGGTAAGACTCTGAAAGGGAGGTGGTGGGGGGGCTGTCTCTATAAAGTTTCTTTTTTGAAGAGAGACTAGAGGGGTTCCGAGCTGCAGTCTTGGTAGAGAATGAGAGGTAGGAAAAGGAACCTTTTCAGCCGCGAACTGCAGTGCTAGGAATGGTAGGATCCCCGACGCTTCCAGCTTGAGAAACAAATCCCATCGAGAGTCACGCATTGGAGAACAACCGCCTATTCAACGGTAAAGCGAAGATAAACATAGCCTCGTAGTAGCGGTTCGCCCTGCTGGTGCCACATTGGCTCGGAGGGTTTCCTTCCGATTGGCACCGACGACGCCTCCCCGTCGAACGATCTCCGCCCCGCCCAGCCCGAAGGGGCGAACCCGGAGCCCCGCCTCCTTTCCTCACCGAAGGGAGCCCCACCCGAAGGGCGCTCGGAGCTAGTCAGCAACGTCACTCTTCTCTCTCTCTCCCCGGTTCCCCTGGATACCCGCCCCCCCCCTCCACCGTTACCGTATCTTCTGGTCGTATAAAGTGGACGCTCGTTTAGAAGGAAAAGTCCTGTGCAAGTTCAAGTAAACACGCATACAAAACCCGCATCATCCAGAGGAGAAAAACAACAACAACAACACAAAACATTGCAACTCATCCCTGTGTTTTAGGTCCGGTCGGGCCCGTCGCTCTCTCTCTCTCTCTCTCTCTCCTCGCCAGCCATGGCTCGTCCGCCCGCCCGCCCGTCCGTCGGTCCGTCCGTCCTCCCCATTCCTCCTCCGGCGTGTTTCCCTGCCCCTGAGCGCAGCCGCGGTCCCTTTCAGGAGGCGGAGGCCGGTCAGCTGTTGTACTGGCAGGCGTTTAGAGTGGAGCCGGGGCTCTGCAGGCTGGCGTAGCCGAAGTTCGAGTGCTGCTTGGACTTCAGCCTCAGGCTGGCCAAGCTGGAGTTGCAAGTGTCCCTGTAGACGCTGTAGGGAGAGCCCGGCGGGCCGTAGGGGCAAGCGGGCGTCGACATGGCCGTGTTGAGGGACGAGCCGCTCAGGTTGTTGAGGCCGGAGTTGGCCACGCCGGGCACGGCCGAGGGGCCCATGGAGGAGGGCATGCTCATGGAGGGCAGCGTGCTGGGCGCCGAGAACATGGACTGGGCCGAAGAGAGCGGGCTCATGGAGTTGAAGAAGGTAAAGCTCTTGGAGGAGAGCGGCGCGGGCGCCAGGCTCTTGGCGTGCCAGTAGTTGGACGGGTAGCCCGGGTAGACGTCCTCGTAGGGCTGCATCAGGCCGCTGAACTGCGGCACGTAGCCGTTCTTGCAAAGGTCCATCTGCTGGTTGCGTTCCCGCTTCCGCCACTTCGCGCGCCGGTTCTTGAACCAGACCTGCGGGGAAGGGGCGGAAAAAAAGACAAAGAGGGGCCCGGAGGCTTGAAACGGCCACCAGCACTGCGCGGAGTCTCTGCTTGCCCCCGCTGGCGAGGGAGACATTAAGAAGGGGCTGCCTGCCTAAAATTAGCACCTGTCTGCCTAGGTTAAAGTGGGGGGGGGGGGGGAAGGCCCACCCATGGTCCACCCTGCTGTCTCTCTAGGTGATACTTAGCAAGCATAGTGAGGATTTCTCCAAGGTGGTCCCTATTAGATAGGTGGCTATCTATTAGACACAACCTGAGGATATCTAAGAAGTCACACTGGAACTCTGAGAAACCCATCATACAATCTGGAGGGCCTGGTTATTTGGGAAGCTAAGCAAGGCTGGTCCTGGTTAGTTCTTGGAAATGGGACCACCACCCGGATACTTCAAGACCACTGCATGGGCTAGACTGGAAAGATGGGAAAAAAAACATCCTAGAAGAAGGCAAAGGCAAATAATTTTGGTGCAGTAATGTTGGTAAGGAAACTATCTGATTCACCAGGAGTGGAGTGGAGGGAGATTTCACCTTTCTCTATGTGATACAAGATTTAAAAAAAACGGTGATTTGCTTGGAAATCATCTGCTGTGGTTGTTGGACATTTTGCTGTGTGATTGTTTTTCTACCCACCTGCCCTGTGTTGCAGTGAATAAAGTTTTGGGTGACCAGAGGTGCATCTTCATAGAGAAGAACTGAGAGCTCTCTTCAAGCTCAGACACCTAAAGCAAACTCATGAACTGGGAATTTCTGTGTTCAAATGGGGCTCTTTCAGGATGCAATGAAGGGTTTCAAAGAAAAACAAGGTTCCAGTGAGCTTGAGATTTGCCTAGGCATTATTGCAAGAAACAGAGAGCAATCCCCCAATCACTTATTAAGAGAGCTGATTAATGATTCCAGCCAGAAATGGCGTCCCCATCATGGCACTGTGGGCTCCAAAGGGCCCACACAGCCTATGGTATGGCCACACTTCCTCTTTAGTTTTTATTATCGTTACTTTAAAAGAAAGAGAAGAAGAGGATGGCAAGAGAATACAGTTGGAAGAGCTGAAGGACCAGGTTGGGGATAGATCAATTGAGAAAATCTGTGTAAGGGGTCACTAAAAATCAATGATCAGATTGACAGCTGACATTTTGCAAAGTAAATTGCCCATCTCCATTATGTCTTAATTTCTAAGAATGCTTCTCCCATCTGTGTACAAAATAAAAATGGTCAGCAGCTGCAGCCCATTTGGAAATGCTGCTTGGGGGGGGAAGACAATCTTTTGTAGGAGGCTTTAAGGAACAGTAAACAAAGACACAGTATTCTTTGCCCCCCCTCAAGAGTCCAAGGGTGCCCACTAGCCCAGGGGCTAGTGATTCCTGATCTACAGACTGATCAGCATGACTCAGAGTGTCCCTGTGGGTTAGTTAAGGAATCTTCTGCTGGATCTTTTCTCAAAGCTTAATACAGCACAATAATTTGGAAGGTAAGGGAACCTAATGGAAAAGTTGTTCAGCATTTTCTTTCTGAAATAAGAGGTGTTGAATAGCCAATCTTTCTTCCTCAACCCTACACAGAGTTGGTTCTGCTAATCTAAGGCAAGGTGGCATCTTTGTTCTCATGAGCTAAGTTAAGACCTGGAACTGAAAATACATTCTGGGGTTCAGCCACTTGAAATTTAAATTAAATTTGGTGCGTAAAGCTTACCTGGTAACTTGTGTTGATATGTTATATTAGCTTAAAAATTTTACCTATAGAGATGGGGACTTAAAGGATAGGTGGACTGCTATAAACATGAGGGACCGTTTGTTACATTGATTTTGTATTCTGTTGCACCATTCTTTGTGTCTAAATTTCTACTATCTCTTCAGCCAATTCACCCCTCTGATGTTTTGAGCTTTCTCCTAAAAGGTTCTGTAGCAACAAGGAATGGTTGAGAAAATTTCTCACCACCTCTGATCAATTTATTTATTACTGGATTTCTTAAAATCCAAATTTTATTCTTTCTGGAACAGCTATTTTATGTATGTATGTATGTATGTATGTATGTATGTATGTATGTATGTATGTATGTATGTATGTATGTATGTATTTCCCACCTTTATTATTTTTATGAATAATGCAAGATGGCAAATATATCCAAAGTACCTTCCTTTTATTTTCCCCACAAAAACCACCCTGTGAGATGGATTGGCCTGGGAGAGCTATAAGCAAAACTCTGATTGCAATCAGATCAAAGCTATCAAAGTATAATAAAAATGCATTAACATATTCATTACTCAACACATCAAATAGGCACATTAATTAATATTTCAATCTGCTTTTGGGGAGTCAATAGGAAAAAGGTACCACCCTTCCTACCTCTTTTCAGCCTAATCCTATGCAACATTCTTTATTGTAAGCTACCAGAAATCTGCACTTTTGCTCTAGTAAGAAAAGACTGCAAATCATTCTAATGGCTTATTTGGGTTATTTGCTGCTATCACAGCTTATAAATGCCTGGTCCTGTGTGATTAAAAAGGATAGATTTTAATATTGATATTAATAAGAATTAATACTTTAAGAGGATAGTCTTTAAAGTGGGGATACGATTGGTGCCCTGCAAATGTTCCAGTCTTCAATTGGTCAATCCTAGCCACCATGAAAAGCAACTCCCCATGAAAGAAATTCTCCCCTTAAAGAAAGTCCCTGTCTTTAGCAGGCTGTCCTGGGAAAAGACATCTCATTTAATGTTTTCAATAGCTGCCCTTTATCTCCAAAGCATTTGCCCCCTATAGCATTTAGTTAGAAATCAGGGGTAGTCAACCTTGGCTCTTTTATGACTCGTGGACTTCAATTCCCAGAACTCCTGAACCAGCTAAGCTGGCTCAGGAATTCTGGGAATTGAAGTCCACGAGTCATAAAAGAGCCAAGGTTGACTACCCCTGAGTTAGATGGATAGCTGGCATTTCTCTCTGGAGATGGCCTTTCCATTTTGCGATTGGGGCCTTGAGAAATCCCCGTTTACAGATTGCTGCCTTGACTTGGCATCTCCTTTGCTTCCTTTTCAAGATCTCTGGATTTCATTTACTTGTTTCGCTTCCATTAACCACTTTCTGGCCAAACCTCTTTCCCAAACTTCTGCTCTCAGACTAATCCTGGTGGCTTTATCCAACTCAAAACAAACAAATGAACAAAAATTCCTTATTTCTGGAAATTAGACACAGCCAGCCAGTCCTATGCATCTTTTGCCTTTCATTAAAAGCAGCATCTGCCTTTACACTGAATGTTCAGTATTTACAGTTCTGCTGCTAGAAAAGAGAATCAGTATAGATGCCCTGGGGTCTGAGGAGAGAAGCTGATGCAATCTTTGGAAAAGTAATCTTTTAGGAAAAACTTTCAATTTGTTTTCATGAAAAATCCAGGGATTCAAAAGCACTGGAAAAATACAGCCACGTGATTCCAGGGGGAAATATGGCCAGTGGAACTGCCTGCCTTACTGGTAAGATTAGGATTTTGATAGGAGTTGGCTGCCAACTAAGGCAAGCAGGTGGAAAAAGCTTTTGTTAGGAGCAAAAACCAGCCAAACTGGGAATCTAACCCCTTTGTGGGAACGCTTTTTTTTTTTTTACTAAAGGCACTCTCAAAAACAAAGCAGTGGCCCTGTAATTCTGGAGGGACTCTATTGAATTATGTCCCATTCTCAGAAACTGCCTGGACAAGTCTCTGCAGTTTCTTTGGCAAACTTTTTCAGAAGTAGTTTGCCCTCGCCTCCTTCCTAGGGCTGAGAGAAAGCCAAAAAATGACCCAGTTGGCTTTCTGCCTAAGGCAGGAATAGAAGTCATGGTCATTCAGTCTCTGGTCTGATGCCTTAACCACACCACCAAATTGGCTCTCACAAACAGAGCAAGGGCTACTTAATTGGCTGTGTAATTCCTAAGGTCAGGCTCTGCTCACAGGATTGTGGATGCCTATTCTGTCCCCCGTTTTAGAAAGTTGTTTGCAGATCAAACTGCTTGCTAGTCTGGGGGAAGGCTTAACCAAATGAAAACAAAACTGCAAGTTTCAACAAGAAAGAGCAAAAGGAGGAGTTGGGGAGGAAGAATTAACTGAAACTCCTCAAGAAAAACCGTGGAAAAAGCCGAAAAGCAGCCTGTAATTCACTTCTCAGAAAGCATTTCCAGACAGGGATTTCCTAAAACCGAAGCTAAACATTTTAATGCTGCCTCTAGATATTTTCAAAGAAAGTCCTCTTAGCAAATTTGACTGAATTAAAGTTTCAGAAAAATACAACTACAGAAGAGTTTGAGCTAAGATTTGGAAGGAAATGGAGTAATTATTGATTTCTCCCTACTTTAAACAGTGGGGAGGGGGGCTGAAGGAGGGGATGTAGACTATTGAATTGAACCTCTTGATGGAGGAATCAAAATTAAAGCATCTCAACCAGATGGCTGTCTACCCCCTACTTGAAGATATCCAACATTCTACTTTAATTTGGAAGCAATCCTTCCCTACTGAAGCCAAGTCCGGCCTCCACGTTAAATGATTAGGGTCAATAACTTTGTATGAAGTGCTCCTTCCTTACAGGGCAAACTCATTAAGTACCATGACATTTCAGCCAAAAAAACAAAATACAGCCCTATTGATCACAGCAGGATTTTAACCCTGTAGCAATTAATAAGATCATATGCTGAATAATTTGGGGATGAACAGAATGGGCCAAATGGCATCAACTGTATTTTATTATATAAGCTTTTGGCTGGATTGTGCCAAAATTAACCAAAAATGTGCATTACTGCAGTCTTTGGGGAAGTGTATCTCTATAGATATACGCAGAATGGGATTTTTTCATTGATTTAAGGGGTAAATGTGATTAGAAGTGTGTTTTTAATTTTTCTAACTTTTACTAAAAAATGCCACGTTTCTTTAAGCATACTAAGTCCCCCCCATCTTTTATCACAAAAGCACTTTGCCATGCAATTTTCAAAATGCTTCATTAAGGGGCAGCCCCAAGGCTTTTTTAAAAAGAGGAATTTCTCTCTCCTGCCCTCCCCCAATGTTGAGTGTAAGCTCATCAGAATAAGTATAGTTCAGGCTTTGAAACAATCGGATGGTTTACTATTTTTCCTTTAAGGCGGCATAACTAATCAGCTGAAATATAATGCTAAGCTTAGCATTTTAGATTTCTCTGCTGACTTCAAGGTACAGAGAATAGGGCAGAAAAGAAAACACATAGAATAGAGCAAAGGGGATGGAAGAACTGCTTGGATAAGTCTTCTGCCCTCAAAGTTTCAGGAAAGTCCTGGGCAGACTCTAATTTCTATCCAATTTCCTCCCAGTAAGCAGCTGCAGGATTGGAAGCCAAGATTGGCTTTTTCTCAAGGAGAAAAACTTCATGGAACTCGGTGGAACTTAATTTTGGTTTGAAAGACACAGGAATGGGCTACGGTTCTAATTTGCAGGGGACACTAATGAGGAACCTCTTGATTTTCCTACAGCCTGCTGCCTAAAGCCACTTAAGTCTGTGCTTTTCTGCTAGTATTTGGGGGAGGGGGAGTTGGTGAGGCCTTCTTGGCAAAGATAAATTTCTGTATATTATAAAAAAGCTAAAATAACTCCAGGCTGATCGTGGATAACACTTCAGTAGATCATTTTTCCTATGGGCCCCAATAAATTACAGGGAATCCTCAATAACTTTTTACCTCTGGAATATTGTTATATCCTTATGGTGATCTCCATTTAGAACCTATTAAATCAAGAACTACTGCATTCATCAACTCAATAGAAATTAAATACACTCACACCTTCAGCAGCTGTAGGATTCATTTGCTCTCCTGAAAGCATAAAGCAAACTATGAAGTTGAGGGAGGGAGACCCAAAACCAATAAACCAAGAATCCAGCTTACAAAACAAGCAAAGAGAATGACTAATAAAGTGTCAATCCTGTTTGTCTTGCAGGTTATTTCTGACACTGGATCCCTTGAAACAAACTTAAGCAATTCCTGCCATTGAAGGCAGGAAATCCCTGACAATCAGCTCAGCAGCCCTGTCTATCTAGAAACCCTTAGCTGATTCTGGAATCTCAAGTAATCCCATCTGCTGGTGAATTTAATCTGTCTCTTGTCCATGATTTGGAGGGTCTATTGATTTTAACAAAAACTATTACCCAACAATTGTTCATATGCAAGTATATATCACTCCATTGCATTGCAGTAATGTATCCTTGTATAATCTCAGCTTGACATGAATTGAGGGGCACAACAATTTATATATATACTAACTGGCTGTTAGTATTAAAATGACCAGTGTGTCTTTGTTAAGAGTAGCTAAATATCATTCCAAATACCTGTCTCTCCTCTCTCCCCAAATAGTTTTATTTAATTACTCTTTCCTGGTTATTTTTAAACACTTGGTGCAGTTCTTACACTTGTACAGTTCTCTAAAAACAACACACCTAAAATCTTTCAATTCACTATGATTTACTTCCATTACTGGGCACAATTCTGCCCAAATTCTGGGTTTTATGTCCATCACAGACACAGTAAACTGGTTTGCTTTATTGCGGTTTATTGTATTATTCACAGTTGGATGCATCTGCACAACTACAATACAAATCAGAATGATTAGATGCGCACAAAACATTACATTTCAAATACAGTTTAGCTGAGCTGAATCCTGCTTGTACCTGTGTGACCAGTTTTCCCATGATTGTAATTGAATTTGGCCATTCCTGCCTTTACTGTGTATGCTGTTAAAAGGCACACTGACACTGCTACTCTGTAGTGTAAAAGTCTCATTAAATATGGGGTTACTCAGTGTCACCATGAATAAAATAGCAACTTAACTTGCTCACTGAATTTTTTATCCTTCCAGAACTAGGTACAGTTCCTTGAAATTAAGCCCTATTGACCTCACAGGACATTTGCTTATGACTGGCTGGATACATGCCCAGTTGTGTGTGTGTGTGTGTGTGTGAATGAGAGAGAGAGAGCAAAGCCTCTGTGAAATCATCCCCAATACCCGCATTTGTTTTATAGCTACACTATTGGCCTTGTCTGGGATTCAAAGCTTAAAGCCAACATCTGCTATTATAACTCCATCTAGGGATCAACCCGTGAGTCATGGTGGGAATTTTGGGGTTCTTTTTCAGTTCTTATCAACCATTTTCATGTAACCTGGACCTTTAACCTCATGCTCACATATAGCTGCTCCCAATCTTTTCCTATTCGGGCTTCTCCTGAAATTTCCCATTTATAGTCAGAGCCAATAGAAAGCTATAGAAAGCAGGGGGGAAAAACACTGGGATTTCTGAAGCTTTCTTATTCGTTTCCACAAGGAGGAAATGGGATCAAAATAATTTCCTCTTCACCCGGCTTTTCAGAAAAAAAACCTGTTGTTTTTACAGATCCCCCCTTCCTATGAAAAGGAGTGCACTCACAAAGCCCATCTACCCAGAGGCTTGTGTTCTCTCTCTCCCGCCCCCCCCAGAAGATGAACTAGAATTGCTGTTGTTATTAAATGGCTGCAGTTACAATCAACCCAGAGAAAACAATAAATCTCGGGTGACTTTTGTCTATTTTGGGCAACTCCTGTTTTTCCCAGGCTATCAAATAAATAAATGAATAAATAAGTGGAAAGGTTTGTGACTCTTGTTAGCATTTTCTTAGCAAGGCTATTACTTGAAGATACAGTAGAGGGAAGGCTGGAGAGGTTGCATTTCAAGCCATTTGAAGAAGCATCTTTTCCCATCAGAAATTTCGATTAAGGTTGCCATTCAAGATCTGCTCATCTCCTGGCTTTTGAAAACTGCTGGGGTTGGGATCTAGAGGCATTCTCCCGAGAAAACGTAAGCCCGGCTTGGATCCTCCGCTCAGTTCTGCGGAAGGTCCGCTTTGAAAGGGCGGGGAAATTTCACTCGGGACCGACCCGCCACGGAATTGCGCAGTCGAGATTTAAGAGCACGCGCTGGGCGCCCCTTCCTTTGATTTTTGGGAGTCTCGTTTAATGAGAGTCCAGAGAGTTGAACCCAACAAATAATTAAGGATCCAACCACTAATCGAGAAATAATCCTATTTAGAAGAGACAAAGCGAAATCAAGGAGATTTAGCTGTGCGGACAGGCACCTCGGCACACTGATTTCAGCTGCCCGCCTCTAAGCAGAGCTTAAAGCTGGATTTAATTCGCTGTTTTGGGGTTTTGTTTTGTTTTGAATAGCTCCCAGCTTTGCACCCTGTTCTCTATATATTTATGTACTGGAAAGCAATGGGGAGGCACCGGTAATCCTCGAGCTTACTTCAAAGTACGTGGGTTCAGAGTCACACTTTGGACAGCCTGGTTCGTAAGCAAACCTCCATGAGATGGGTTCTTCGAGAAAAAAAAAATGCGGGGAGAGGAGACGCCCGAATTTAAGCAGCAACCCCATAGGCTCTTGCTTGCGCCCCAATCGAGGCCTGATCGTATTGGAGCCCTTATGCATGTTGCTCGACCCCCAAGGGGCATTCCTCTTTACAATTTACTCGCACAATTGTCGGCCTTATTTGTTCCGGGGGCTTTTCCTGACCTGAGAACCCGAAGACGTTGCAGATCCGGGGTATGCAAAGCGAGGGAGAAGATACACGGCCCGCGCTTTCCCTAACGGGGCCTTCATCAGGCCTGGCCTCCCTTTACGACACGGCGCGGCGGTTCTTAGCCGCTTTGCTGCGCCGAGAGGGCTGCGGTGCCGGGTCGTCTTGTGCTCGCGCCTGCAAAGAGCGATTCTGCGGGCCGCCCGCCGCCCTCCCGCGCGGAGAGCTCGCCCGAACCTGCTCCGCCCGGAGGGAAACGCCTGCAAGTAAGGCCCGGGGCTTTTTGGCTCCCACCAGCCGACCCAGCTTATTCGTGGGGGGTTACCCAGTGGAACGGGATGGGCTCTCTTCCAGGCCAGGCCCGCTCAAAAACAGCCCGCACCCCGGGAAAGGGCTAAGGACTGCGGCGGAGTAAGCTCTAACTGCGGCGGAGTAAGCTCTAAGTAGTGACCTTTGCGTTATCTGCAGACATTGGGGCAAGGGGGAGGGGGGGGGGGAGAGAGAAAGCTCTGGAGAGGCGACCGCGGAGGTGGCTCACCCTGACTCGGGGCTCCGTGAGGTTGGTCCACACCGCGATCTCCTCCCTCATGCTCATGTCCGGGTAGCGGTTCCTCTGGAAAGTGGCCTCCAGTTCCTGCAGTTGCTGGCTAGTAAAGTGAGTCCTTTGGCGCCTCTGCTTCTTTTTCTTCGCCGGGTCGTCTGCGCTCCCTTCCTCGCTTTTCTGCACGCCGCTTGGCTCCTTTTCTAGAAAGGAAAGGGCCGAGGAGAGCGAGATCACAATAAGGATCGGTTGGGGTGCGATTAATGGTATTATTAGGAAGAAAAATCAAAGGGCTTCCGCTGGGCCTCTTAACCCAAGACAGCGCAAAGCCACCCCTGTCCCTGCAAACAAGCTGACCAATACGAAAAGTCTGAATTACCGTTCTGTAACCCGAATCTTTCGTAAATTATACACCATTTCGCAGCAGCGAGAAGGTTTGGATTGGAACCAGCTCCTCCGTTTCAAAAAGTCTGGAGAACGGGGGTTTGTCCTTACAGAAACAAGGGCCAGAGATGATCTGGAGCTGGGATCTAACTGTGCTGTTCTGCACAGAAGACTCAGAAAGCTAAAAAATAAGCTATTAGAGGGGAAAATACTTTTTAAAAATATGGTATCTGTAGTAGAAAAATTTGGATGATTTAAAATTTCGTTTACAAATCAGAATGTCCGTTCTCTCAAAAAGTAAGTAATTCACAGCTCATTTTGCAATCAATTTTGCATTTTTCTATTATGCTGAGTACTTAAGCTTTCGAAGGTTACAATATATACTTCTCCCAGGGTGCCATAACTACTTAGAGAACAATCTTTTTTCTCTCTCTTAAACCCAAGGAGTGGGAAGAAAGGAGAGGAATAGTTTATACCTAGGGAATTTGGAATTTTTACTTTCAGAACAAGTTTTCAGGATCCCTTTTTATATTTAATTAAAATGACATAACATTAAGAAAACTTTTTTTGCTTAAACTATTGAGATAAGGATATTTTACAAATTTGGATTGATCTCCATTCAAAAATACGAAAATTGCGTTCACAAAAAAAGCATAAAATGTGTTTGTACAGTAATGGCTAAAGTGTGTACAAGTGTGAAGGGACACACCAATTGGCATGACCCTGCCTTCGATCTAATGGTTCAGGTAAATGGGAGAGGGAAGAAATCGGGACTCAGTCAATTCCCGGAGATTTATAGGATTCACTGCAAGAAATGTGAGGGTGCTCCTATTTTTAAAACACCTGGCAGTTTCCAGATACAAATAATTCACATTGGTTCCCAGCATATACCCACTCAGATTAAATTGACTGAAGGTTCCTCCCACTGTGCTTTGGAGGGGATGAGATATAGAGATAGTTAAGAATATTGATGCAATTTCTTATTTGTGGAACTGAAGTGAATTTTTAGAGAACATAAGGGTATTCTTCTGATATACTCTTCTGACAGTCAGTTTGATATAGTGGTTAAAGGCATAAGACTGGAAACCAGGAAATGGTGAGTTCTAGTCTTATCTTGGGCATGAAGCCAGCTGGGTGACCTTGGGTCAATTAATCCCTCTCAGTCCTAGGGAGGAGGCCATGGAAAACCATTTTCCAAGTCTTGCCAAGAAACTGCAGGGACCTGCCCAGCCAGTCAACAGGAGTCAACACACATACACACCACACACAAAAGGATATCCTACCATCTAAGGCCTAGAGATCCATCCCTACTGAAGAAAGTGTAGCTGAATTCAGTGGAGCCCACTATCTCTGAAAAGACTTGCTATTCAATTAAACACTTCCACAATTCAGCTAAATATCTCTTAATGCTAATTCTTTTATAACTAAATTATATTCAATCTGGCCAACTTGCAGCCTATAAATTCTAGTAATTTTAATGGGACTTGGTGTGCTTCCTGAGTTGAATTAAGGGAGAGTCTTCTCAGACCAAGTATTTCTAATTAAATTGCTTGTGCAACAGTCACCCAAGTACCAGTAGTTCAGGCTGCAGTGTGATGGAGAGATTTTTTTATATGGAAGCAATAGTCTATAGGTGTTGCCTCCAAGGCTAAGCTAACACTTAAAGAGGATTGATAGGATTATTCATCTTAAAATGATTCTAGATATGTAATCAATTTCTAAATTGGTATGTATTTCAAAAGAATATTGAAAACTTGCTTATGTGTGTCCATTTGCAGTTTGAATATATTGTAATTAGAACTACACAGAAGATTCTGGGGAGGGATCAGCAGTTGACCTGGCTAATAATCCCTTGATTTCTTTAATAGCCTGCTTAAAATAAAACGCATGATTCAGATTAAAGTGTGTAGTAAAGGAATTGTGGGTCTCTGCCATGCATTTCTGGAAAGTGAGAGGGATTTTTTAGAGAGCATTATCTTTTTCTCCCTCCCTCTCCAGGTATTTAAGAAAGTCACCTTATTATCATATGCATCTACTATATTTATATACTTAAACAGACCTACACCCTCTCACATTAATATTTATGCATCCTTTTTATATTGAAAAGTCAAACTCTAGACATGACCCATCCAAAAATAAGCCCTTTATGTTCCCCTGATTTCAGTGGATTACAAAAGTGCTTTGCCTTCCTTATTGAAAAGAGCGAGGAGCTCAATGGCTTAATTTTGGCAAGATCAGATGCCACATAAAAATGCAGAAATTATTTATGCCTCTTGAAAGAAAGAAAAGTGGACAAGGAACACGTGCAGGCACCGGCAAGATTAAACTCATATTGATCTCTGTACAGCAAGCTGCTGCTTGAAAAAAAATAATCTCATAAAGGTATTAGGTAGCTTCATGGTATGAATCAACTTGGGAGGTTTTTCTGTACACTGAAAACCTAAATACATGCGGCTACAATCTCCCTCCTTTTGAAGGCCTGGATTTGATACTCTTTCCAGAGGACTCTGATCAGAGACGTGTTGGTGCCCAGGTAGCAGCCCCCAAAAGACACCTAGTTCAGGAGAACCCCCCAAAGCAGCTTTCTTTCAATACAGCTCAGATAGGACAGCTACTCTTGGTAGGGAACAGTTCCCAAAGCCTGCAAGGCCTTGATGCTGCCTAAAAAAACTGTGTTCCTGTTCAAGCTAGGCCCCTTCTCCTTTTTACCCACCAGGGCCTGACCTAGGCCTGGTACAACCCCCACAAACCTTTTTTCCTAGCAAGGCTATCGAAAAGGGGGGATCAGCTTGGTACCGGGTTGGTGATGTAGGCTTTTCTTAAGGCTGGACCTCAGGGAGGGTTGTGGGGAGACTGAGGGCAAGGCCCCAAGTGACCTTATGTCCCCATCAGTTCTCAAGGTGGGCAATGAACATTAAACCTCCTCTGCCAATGTGGTCTCCCTCCACTCCTGCTCCTCTGAAAAGCTGCCCTCCCTCGGGCCTCAGCACAGCTCCAGAACTATCACTCATGCCAGCTTGATGGCCTTTGCGCTGTTTTCCACGGACAAGAAATGAAAACTAAGCTCTGGTGGGCCTAAGCAGGGAAGGTGCTGCTTGCTGGAGCCCTTTGCACCATTAGGAGCTAGAGCTTGGCACAACCATAAGGGACCTCAACTTACACATCACAAGGACCCTCAGCTGTGGTGCTCCTGCCTTTTGCAAACCACTCTCGGAATAGCTGCTTAAAAAAATAATAAATATGATGACTTGACTTGGTGAGAAGGCCCTGAGTTTTCGCTGGGCCGCTTCTACTAGTGTTCCCTCACTTATCGATGGGTTTGTTAAGAAGCCTAAAATGTATTTCTGAGACAATCTAGGGGCAAAGGTGTTGTTATTTCAGAGCAATTTGACTTGCCTTATTATTGTTCAAATTCCCAGGCTCCTGTTTAATCTGATCCCTTATATTAAATATTACCGGTGGCTCCCTATTATATTTTTCCTACTTGGTGTTACTAAAATGCATAGTGTATCTTGGGACTGGGTCTCTTCGCCCTTTCTTCCCTTGCTTGGGGAAATTTTTTCTGCCACTGAATATGTAAACTTTACAGAGGGGCTGGTCCCAGAGTAGCACAAGCTTAAATTCAGCAATAAGTAGTGGGAGTGACTAGAAGGACTGCACTGCATCTTAAATTTATTTCAGTTTTGGTGAATTCAGCCAGATTTACTCAGATACGCCATTAATTTCTGCAAGATCAGATGTCACATTAAAATGCAGAAATTATTTGGAGTTTGAGAATTAGATTCTACTCTTGTGCGTGCCTACTAATTTGACTACGAATTTGACGTTAAATCTTTTCCCAAAGAAATATCCTACTATTTCCTCCTCCCCCTCCCAACACCTTTCTAGACTCTGAGCTGTTTCAACGGTTTCTTCGGTGTTTTAGGTTGCTGGGATTTTAGAATTGCTGGGAATGGAGAAGCCTGAAGGATTCTCTCTGGGGTTACGGAGGCCTGTCATCGAGGCGTTGCTCTTACTCATTTCCAGGGAGTTAACTTTCCCAAGATTTGATCCGCGGGACACCCAGGGGAACTTTCTCAAGCAAGGAGCGCTGCTGTGCACTTGCATTTCGGGACGGGGGGGGCATTTTGCAACCCCTCCCTTGCCCTGCGATCGAAGAGAACCGCTTCTTCAGAGCAAAGGCTTTTTCCACGGATGTATGGAAGAGTTGCCAACGTTGGACAGCATAACTAGCGTTATTTTGGGCTTGTCGATTTACGCCCCTTCACCTGCAAATAGGGCCGACTAAAGACAGAGGGAAGCTGCCGCCGGTTAGGGTTGCCAGGTCTGCTTCCAAAAAATAGTGGACAAGCGGGGGGGGGGGCGGTTAAGTAGTAAAAAAAGTAGACTGTACAGCTTTAGATTACGTACCATTTCATCATAAAGCTTTTGAATAAAAAAAATGTCCACTATTTTGTGAAAAAAAATAGTGAACATAATGTGAAAAAAGTGGACGGTCCGCTCAAATAGTGGACACCTGGCAACCCTACCGCCGGTGCCCTTTGAGGCAACCCTCTCCTAAAAAAAAATAAAAAAAAAATGCCTCTCCTCTACAAAGACACCTCGGAGTAAAAGCAACGCCGGGCTGAATAAGACGTCTGCTCTTTCCCTCGCCAGGGCCTGAAATTTTCCTTCCTTCCTTTCTTCTCTACCTCTT